CCACTCTCTCTAACGGTTTCAACATAAACACCGAAAAATAAATACCTCACGATGTCTATCTAATTATGAACTTGCTTTACTTTCACGGAACACATTTTTGGTGATAACAAATGCAACAAAGTAGCATATTTACCGACACATGTTCTACGCCACTACATACTTAGATTTAAATGTGTGCTGTGCTGCGTCGGTTCAGCCATTCTCCGCAAGAGTTTTTTTAATTGGTCCGTGCGCAAAGCATTGTGGGGATTTGAAGGACGCAAAGTCTACCCATGTACAGCCTCGAAATTACCCCCAAACCAAGGACGTGGCCTCGGTGGAATTCCAAGTATGCTGGAGATTGGAACAGTCCTTCGGCGGCACTCGATGACGTAGTATCCTTGAAATATTGGCTTGGAAGCCAGTTTCCTCGCGATTGAGAAACGGCCAGTCAGTCAAAATGAATGAATGAATGGACGTTTCTTTGACTATAGGCAAATATGGGCACTACGTGAAGCCCGCAAAAGCTGCACCGCATTTCGAGTCGGTTGTGATTTATAAAGGGAAACCGGCGTAGGAAGTGCCATACTTACTTTCCTCGCCGGTACGCAATGTTCGGTGAATCGGAAAACTTCGGAAAATGTATGTACCTATTTTTCGGATTTCTACTACGTAGGCAACCTTCCCACGTGAATCCTACGCACGGCGTTATACATGAGGCCCCTGATCGTCACATGCATAATTACCATCGTCAAAGAGAGAATGCGTTCGTGAAGAATGTGAGCACATATATGCAGATCCTTAGTGTTGGTAATGTTATAAGATTTTAAGCATAGTGTCCTGCTGAGTCAGTGTGTTAATGAGTCTATTGATGTCCCGTTTTTAGCTGCTATGTTGTTCAGAAATGGAGCTAATGCTAGCTAGTTAGCTAAGTTAAGCTATTCAGTGATAGTGTTTGGATGAGATACTAACTTAGCCTTTATTAGCCATGTGTGTGTTTGCAACGTGTCTAATGTGTTTTTTGCAACAATTAGTATTGCTGTTGCTTATTATTAATAACCAGAGTCTGGTTAGTTATTGTAATGTGAACCTTATTTCTATTTCTGTGTATTTTGCAGAAACCATTAATTCTCTACTCTACGTTGTCATTATCCTTATCATCATCCTCATCAAACCCATTCGACATCCTGTATGTGATTCCACATCAAACATGATGTATTCTGTGTTGATGATCAGAACCAAGCTAATATAAAGTCCAACGACTCACTGTACTTCCTGTCTCCGTGTCAACTCTCTAACCGGAGTGCTGTTTTGGATAAAGCGGCTCCAGCACAAACATCACAACACACATAAGATTCCCCAATAGTTAGAGTTGTACTCGCTACAGGGTGTACTTTGAGGGTTTTTGACTCTGCAGACCGTTCACATGCATAAAAACCTTCATAACACACAAGGGGACGGGTAATAACCGGAAAAGCATGACATGGGACTTTTTAAAAGAACATCTGTCACAAAGTGTGAGTGTTAGAGACGACAGAAATAAATGTATTTGACTTGAAATGGTTTAGACTGAATGTAAAACAGTCTACCGCTTTATGATTTATGTCCAGAAAGAAAACTTTGATTTAGCTGCTGCATGAAGAAAACTTTAATTTCTATTAAACATAGAATAAGACAGTAATGGTTCCTCCATTTGATGAAAAAGCATGTAATCTATTGTGATGTTGAATGTCATTCTGCCATCATTTCTGCATTAGACTCACTGTGTGACAAACACACATTTATATAAATAGAGAATATACCATCACAAGTGACATTTCAGTCGTGGTAGATTAGTTGAGGAGTGGGAGAAAGACAATCAGGACACAATGTGCAGACCAGTTGATGGTGTTCGTGATAATTGGTTCTTCAAAAATAACTTTATCCTCCTTGTATTGGGAAGGAGTCTGTTACTAAGAACGTCTTTAGTAATGATGCTTCTGTTAACATGTATTAACCTTAAAAAGGTTTGTGACATTTTACATAATTTACAACCATCTTAGCCTGAAGATGATTTTGGACAACAAGTCCATGTTTTAACAACGTGAGTCTGAACAACGTTAGTGTCTATAATGCTTCTGGAGCCTACATTTGTGCATCTATTCTTGTCTTTGTACATTTCTCTTACACATAGCCAGAACTCAAGCAGTCTGCAAGTCTGTGTTTGAGGTCAAAGGTCAAACAACTGCAAGGCAGAAGGGAAATTATTTCAGTGTTTTTTTTTTCCAGTACATTTACAGCAAGAGGAGCTCATAGTCAGAATGTTTTCAGTTACTCAATTATGAAATGTTCACACTTTTTTATGAACATAGTACAAGCATATACAAGCTTGGAATGTCACCACATTGTAGATATTTTCACATAATGAACCTTTGTGCAACTATCTTAGTATAATAACACTTTCTTTTGGCATGCTGCATAAAACTAAAGCCTTATTTGTAATAGCTAAATCTATGCCGTAATGTAGCTAAATATATGCCGCATGTGACCTGAATAAAGTCCCACCACAATATCCTAGAAATTCAGATGTGTCACTTAAAAAGGACAATTCTCACAAAAGCTCTATTTATTTTCACTTTTCAAAGTTACTTCTGCTATTTCACTTCAAACAATAGTATATTGTAAGTGACCTCTTCATATAATAATGATGGTATAGGTGAATTATTGTTTACCTAAATAGGTTTTGAGAAGTCCTGTCTGTCAGAATCATCGACATCAGTGTAAATCAGTGCTTGTTTTGAGCAGATGAGAGAACTAGCAAAGTTCCCTCAGGAAGCTTTGGTTTTGAGAAGTAAAAAAGTTTGTTTCTCTTTCAGTTGACAGTCTGTTGCTGCTCAAACCATTGTGATTACAACCAGAAGTACTAAGATCATTTATCATTAGGGAAGCCTTGTGTGAAAAATATTCTTAAAAGTCTCCCAGTGAGTGTGTAGCTTACTGACATGCTCTCAGTTTATGAGTTATTATCCCAACTCATGTCAGAGCATCTGCAGGAGGGATACATTTGTTGCTAAGCAACAGCTAAAGCTCGCAGATTGCTCACTACAGTCATGTTCAAAATGTGGTTTACTTCCTGGCTTTGGGGCTCTTTGTTATGCTACAAATGATATGAAATGTAAAAGAGTTATTCTATCTGCTTTTACAAAAACATAAATTAAATACAAATAAAAGACTGAAATTAACTGCTGTTATCACACATAATTGACATTTGCTCAGATGTTTGATTTAGTTTCTCTAGATTGTGTCAGTAACACATATTTTGTTTATTGCTTTCAACACATACACCTTTTATTTCCATGTGACATCTGTCAAACAAGCATATTAAAGATGTATCTTTTTAAGTAATCCGGAGGTAGCAATAGTAGTGTGAATAAAATCTAGCTAGCACTAACATTTAACCAATTCTAATAAACCTATACCATGAGGATTATTCAGCCAAACACTCTGTACTTGTTTCAGGTACTTACAAAAACACAATATATTTAAATGTAAATCTAAGTGGGCTAAATGGACACCCAGATAAACAAATAAAGAATTCAATGTTCTAAGAAAATTAGGGCAGAAACAGATGAGTGAAATGGGCACATGTTTGAGCGAGGTAAATGCTTAGTTTTTGCAGCAAATGTTTTCATGGTGGATGGTATTAAAGAGAGGGGGGAGAATCAAACTGATATTTAGCCCCTACTGGCTTTTTTCCCCTCCTGCTTTTGTTTTATACAGGGCTCTTTTTACCACATGGTAGTGACAGATTGTTTGAGCTGAAAGGAAAAGCCATTCGAAGCTAATTAAGCAGCCATTCCAGGCTCTATTCGCAGGCAGGAGGGAGAGCAGCACAGGCATTTGTCAGCGCCGTACCCAACGTGGGTTTAATTGACAACCCGAGCTCCTGACTGACAGCTCTTCCACCCCTGAGCCAATCGTAGGCCGCGCAGGAAGACAGCTGCGACCCCATTGGATAGAACGCAGTGAAGAGGGCGGGAGAGGACCCACGTGGGGGCCGGGCACAGTGAGCCATTCTTGATAGGCTAACGTGTTGTAGTCTACCTAGAGCTGCTGATAGGGAAGCTTGTAGATGCTTGAGGTCTCGTTAGAAATAGGTCGATCAATTCAAGTCACTCAAAGGACACTCTGCTGTAGATTAAGCTGTATTCACATATCCTGTTGCTATTGGGGTCTTGAAATAATTTTTATCAGTTTTCTATTTTTTGGCATTACTTATTTCTTTTTTTCTGCTTCTGTGCTTCTCTTGATTTGAGAGCAAAATGTGTTAAAGATACACAATGCTTGTTAATGGTCGGACTATAATTCTAACACAACATAAGTACTACACCACATCTACTGCATTGTGATTTTTTTTGTATTAAAATGGTGAATTATGTATTTGGTTATGGGGTTATTTACTTGTTTATATCTGCATATACTGTTTGAAACGGCCTAGTTTTTATTTATAAAGCTCTCAAGTAAATATTTAAAGCGTAACACTCTGAAACAGCAATAGAAGGCAAGGATATATAATAAATTACTGCCTTTTGTTTTGAACAAGTTGTTGAACGCACTGAATGTCACTTCAAATCCAAAATGGCGAACATGTGAGGTCACACACCGCAGCCCAATCAGAAGGCAGGTGCACTGGGCAGCCCACGTGGGGGATACCGTGCTGGGATTGGCCACCTTGGCTAAACTCCTCTCGGAGCACCTGATTGGTCAGAGCAGGGCCCTCTCTCGGCAGTCGGGTCCTCGTGTCAGTGCACAGTCTGTGTGTGGTACAGCGCGCGGCGGAGGAACTGGGTATGCCCAACAGCAAGCTCGTGGTATATTTCACAACGGTCGACATTAGGAAAAAAACAGTTTACTCGCCAAAAAAATAATCTTTGGACTTACTGGAAGATTCGTGTACTACTACTGGATGTAATATTGTTCAAAGTTGTATGCCGTCAACAACTCGTCCCGAAACCGAGGGGTTTCCAGCGACCGACCGGACGGAGAGACGTTCTCCGCCTCGGGATCACCGGGGTTTTAAAGGACTCTCCAGGGGCAAAGAAGTGCACGAATAACAGAAACTGCGACGGAAATCTTCCGCCTTTATCTCTCCGTGCTTACGACTTCAAGAGAAGGATATTACGCTTTTTGTGTCTGGATACTATTATTGGTTACCTGTGCAGAAGAGAGGGGAGGAATCAGCCCAGACAAAGGTAAAAAGGGCGACATGAAGAGAGCCGCTAACAAGGCGGGAGGTGGTGGCGGTGTGGCTTCATGGCAGCCGACTTTGAAAGCTCCTTGTTTTCAGATTTTCTTTTTTTCCCGGACCACCAAAACAACCCCGTTGTGTGTGTTCTTGTTTCATTTTGTGGAAGCCAACTCGTTAGATTCACGAGTAATACAAAGCCACCATGTCGTTAAGGTTGTGATCCAAAGTATGAACTTTGGGATTTATTTGATACATCGGATCAGACGCATTGTGCTTGTGTTTCCCTATGTAATGCAAAATTAGGCGAATCATGTTGATTATTGACAGGAAATGTATGAAAAGAAAAACATGTTAATGCCAAATTGACGAAAAACACATTTTAGGCTTATTTGGTCAAGGAGTAGATAATAAACCGGTTACTTTCTTAAAGCTTCAATTCCTGTCGAGTTACAAGGTGCTATGGTTGTTTGATGCGAAAGTGATCCAGCGCCTCAGCTGTGCCTCGTTTTCTGTTTGTATAGGTACAAAGGAGAGGCCGACGAGGTGATCCATCCAGCGGTCTAAGTGTGTGCCTCGTAGCCGAGAACAGGGCTTTGTCCGCCGCCATCCTGCGTTAACAGGGGAGGGGGTGGCGGTGATTTACCGCACCTTCACAGGATTAAGGAAAGAGCGAAAACACACCGAATTCCCTTGAGTGAAGGACACGACATGTATCCACAAGGCCGGCATCCGGTAAGTATTTTTTTTTTTTGTCACTGTGTGTAAATTGCAAATACACCGCCCTTCAAAGTAGCCTAATTAGCTCGTCAGACTGGTGCTGCCGATCCACACCTTACTATTTATGGTCTGCATCGGTGCTGCTGCTGAGGCGCTGCTCGCTGCCAGCAGAGAAACTGGGATATCGTGTTTATTGGCGATAAGATCAGAGCTTTTTGTTGAAGTCAGGAAAGTAGATCATCACCCCTGCTGTAATCTGACTTCATTCCACAGTGCAGTTTCTGTAGTCACATGTTAACACTGCTAAGAGGGACATTTTTTGTGTGCAACACACCACAGGTTTATGTATGTGTTATTCCTTCCTTATCATCCTACCATGTACTTTTGAGGATGGATGAAGTGATCCTCGGTGCACATGTTGTTACTCTGCAGGGAAATGTGAGGGCAAACCATCAGATAGAAGAAGAAAAAAACTGTTCACCAAGACAGAAGAGTGGGCGGATATGGCGAGATGACACTATTATCTGTACTGTGATGGAGTTATTTACACCTGCGCTCTCTGCAATCTTGCACCTTTCAGGCACCTCACCAGCCAGGGCAGCCTGGCTTCAAGTTCACAGTTGCAGAGTCCTGCGACCGGATCAAAGACGAGTTTCAGTTCCTTCAGGCCCAGTACCACAGGTAATGACTAGCACACTGTATCATCATTGGCTTCCTGGAAAGAATAGGATGAGGAAGCTGTGTCTGTCTTGTTCCATTTGTGTAACTCAACACACTGATGTTACAAATATCTGTTCAGACATGTTAACTTAGCATAACATACACAAATGAATGCATACATCCAACTTTCTATAACGGTACATTTCATTTCTCTCTTCTTGAAGTCTGAAAGTGGAGTACGACAAACTGGCAAATGAAAAGACAGAGATGCAGCGCCACTACGTCATGGTAAGGGCAGCCTTCGTAAAGCTCTGAATGTGATTTAGTGCCGTGTCCTCCCTTTAGCCTCAGGTGAACACTCACAGGTGTTGCAGCCCTGTGTTTTGCAGAGGCCATGTTAGCATTTGTCCCTGCTTGGTGTTGTTGCCTCACGCCAGTGTTTTCATTGGATAAGAAGGCACATTGTAGGTGTGGGGGGTTGAAACTAGCAGGGGTCAAATGTCCAACTATTGATTGTTGGGTGTGACGACCCCCCTCTATGGCCCTGGGGTACTCTTTATGACCCTGCACACCCCCTCCCTAACGCACCCACCATGACCCACTGGGGGTTAATGACTGGTCTGCTGGGTTTGTGCATGAATCAGAGGGTATCCTGTATTTCTTTTTACTTCCTTACTGACCCACGGTGAACCCTGGGGTCATTGAGACACTTTGGACACACCCAAGGGTTTGAGAGATATGGGGAGAACAATCATAAAGATAATAGACTATTCGTGGGGCAAAGTGCTGTCGTTAGAATCAACATCATATACATGAAAACATTTAAAATTATAGATAAGTCTTATCACTAATGTCGTCAACAAAAGGAAATATCAGCAACTTTTTGAGACCTCATAATAACTTTTCTTTAAATTAGAAATGTCATTCATTAGCTCATTCTAGCTCATCAAAGGTGAAGAGAAGCAGATTGGCTTAGTCCTTAAATGACAGTTAACTCATTTCTGTTGGGTTCTGAAATGATGGTCAAACAAAACAAGACCTTTGAAGACACCATATTGGGTTTTGCTAAATGTGACATTCATTTTTGTTTTTAAATCTTTTAGGATCTTTTTAAAACTTCTGCATTGTGTACGTGGGAAAAGAACAATCTTTATCTGGCGAGTGTTGTAACTTGGCCCTCTCTCAGTTTGTCTATGTATGTACATGCTTATCTTGTTTGTACATAAAAGGAATGACATAAACCAAACGCAGCAGTACGTTTGTTAAATATTATTTTCCCTGCGAGTAACCAGAAGGTGGTGGGAGTAGCTATGATAAATGGAGGCTGTTAGATAAACAACACTGACTGGGCTTTAGTTTGTATCTGTTGGTGGGCTCACAAGGTTTTGCCAATCATCAGCAGATAATGCCGTTTTGGATGAGTGTCTCTGAAGCCGCAGGCAGGCAGTGCCCAGTAGAAGCTGGTGACACAGTCTGTCAGCTGTGGTTGCACAAAGAACATGAAGTTGTCATCCTCTGTGGTAAATGTCACTGTGTTTTTAATAGCTCACGCCTCGTGCTGCAACAAGTATTCGACTTGTCTCCTTTATTGTTCTGGCGCCTTAGAGGATGGATAAAAATGTCAAACCAGTCACCACAATCTCCCTTTTTACGAGCAGATTCCTATTCCTCAGTAACTAAAAAGAAGTTGCTTGGGATTCCTATTTAGTTGACTGCAATTAAGAAATGTAGATATCAAGGATGGCATAATGTCCTTTGTTTACTTGAATGTACAAATGAAAAATGCATCTTGGTAAAGTATTTCAAGAAAATGGTTGTGCTTTCTTTCTTATGTATTAATGTTTTATATTCTCCTTTCTGTTTTTACAGTACTATGAGATGTCCTATGGGCTCAACATTGAGATGCACAAACAGGTATGTAGCCATATCAGGGAGGCTCTGTGTGCAGCCTAAACACTGATGTTGTTCCCCTTAGTGATCGAGGAATATAAACACGCATACCTGCCTTTACTTTCTACCCTTAAATGGCTTTCGGACACATACACACACTGGCTTCCCGTAGTGAAAATGCTGACAGGCTAAACAACACGTTGGGCACGCTGCCTGATGTGGATGCTTTGATAAGATTAAAGCAAAGTATTTGGCAGGCCGTCTTGAGAGGATGTGTTTTTGTCTGGGTTGTCCTTCTGAATGTGTGTGTGTGTGTGTGTGCACATATGCCTGCTCTATTCTGTGTGTGTCTCCCCAGTGCCAGGCGGGCTAAAAGCTCATTAGTTCAGCTGCCACCCAGCACTGGGCATCCTGCTGCAGTGGAAAGACTTCTCCAGATAAATAGGGCAACAATATCTGCAGTTTCCTCCACACCTCCCAAGCAGCCATTCCAGTTGTCTGGGGGTTCAGACATGTTAAAATCATCTTCTCATCGAAGCGGTGACCGCGTTTCACATCACTCTTCTTTATTGTTTTGATCTTTGGCCTGTCATGTCCAGAGTTATGGAGGCATGTTGGTTTAGTGTTTGTAGAAAGCCTCGCTCAGCCCAGATCTTAGGTCAGCTAGAAGCCCTGCATGCTGCTGAAGTGTCCCTCAGCACAAAGCTTCATCGATCATGCTTTTCTGTCAGCTCTGATATTTCTCTGGATAGAAAAGAACTGTTGTCTTTATTCTCTTTTTGATGTGTTTTAGTTTTGTCTGGTGCTTAACATCTTTACGTCTTCCAACACTATGTTGGAAATTAGTTTTCTCGCTTAATTTGTTTTTGTATGGCGAAAAACAATTAAATGAGCAACAATTGGAAAGAAAATGAATGAAGGGGACATTTTGATAAGTCAGCTATTCAATCAAGTGTGTTTTTATTGCATTATAAATGATATCTCAGTCTTTCCAACAAAACAAGCTCTCTGTGATGAGCATATGGACTATTCTACTCAGTTTATGGATAAAACCATCGGAAATTGAGAAACGGATCTTGAAACAGTTGTTATGTCCAGCCCACGGCTTGCATTGAGACTTATATCATCCTCAATGCTCTTCAGAAGTCAGATTACCCCTTCAAACAACACTGCAAAACAACTCTGTTTAGCTAAAGATCTGCCCCCAGGCCTTTTAGTCAGCCATGTGAAACCTACATTTTCTTTTCTATTAAGGTACATTAGCATAATCTTTTATTCAGCCGACTTTAAAAGAGGAAAAAGATTAACCGTCATCTCAAGATGCCCCTCTTTTATCTTTCTCCACTTACATTTTCTCTGATTCTGTCTTGCCTTCTGTTTCCCTCAGTCACCTTTGCCTCCTCCATTCTCCTTTTTCCACCTCCGTCTCGTGCCCTTGTGTCTTTTCATTGCTTCCCCCTCCTCTGTGTGCACCCCTACCCCAACCATGTGATGTGAATGATGGCCCTTGTGTCATTAGCTGTGTGATATGATGTATGAGAGTGGGAGTCTGTCAGAGGGGGGGAAAGGGAGACGGGGAGAGGTGGGGTGGAGGCTTCATGGCTCTCAGATCCAGAAGGTTAATGGCATCAGTGGGAGGGTGGCACACTGCACAATTCATCAGGTGCAGACGCTTCTTGTAGGCGTGTGTGTGTGTGTGCTAACTAGCTGTTATAGCCCCCCCCATTCTTGAGCGTTTTCTGTCAGGCACTTATCACCAACAAGAAGGTTGCAGGAGGGGGTGGAGCTGGTTGTTGTGGGTGGATGCTGGTGGCAGTGGACAAAACAAAGGGGGATGGAAACAGGAAAGGAGTGAGAGGCTTCAGGGTAAATGGGTTAATCGACTGCTCCTCTCCTGTGCATCTCCTTTGTTTATCAATAAGCCCGGTGGAGTCGGCGGAGCACTCTGAATAATGCATGATTCCTGCCACCTCCTTTACTCTCCCTCCCTTCTCCCCCCTCCCTGGTGAGCCAGTGTTTGTGATGACATCAGCGAGAGGTAAACAGACAGCCCTTAGCTGTCCCTGTTATTGAGAGGGAGGAAGGGGGGCTGGATTATTAGATGCAGCCCGGCACATTACTTTGCTCGTGTTGGGAGATGTATTACAGAGGGGAAAAAGCCCTGATAAAGTCAGTTTGTGTTGTTATCGCCTCAAAGCTGGATTAAAAAGCAGAGGGGGTCTGCACAAACCACACACACATACATACATTCTCATATCCCTGACATGGTGACAGTAGTTGTGTCTCTGCACACAAACACACCGTAATTGAAGTTGGGACAGATACACAGTGTCCCCTACACTGTGTGTCTGCTGAACGGTTGCTAGCGTAGGGATCTGTGCGGTTGCCGGGGGGTAATTTGTTTTGACAGTGTCTCTTATGATGGCAAAGAGTGCAGGGTGGAGGTAATCACCCTTGCTTGCTGTCAATAAGTGATTTTAATTAGCGCAGCTCATTAGGCTGCCTCAGCAACATGCCCTGCTGACTTTGTGGTGCGGCCTGCTTTGTTTTTCACTTCCTCTGTTCTCTGTTGTGGTCCATGTTTATCTTTTGGTACGCTTGCCTTCCTTTTGATTTCACTTCTCTCTTTGGGTGAATTGAAAGCAAAAGGAACATAAATGGAAGAATTAACCATCAACAGATTTTATACCATGCCATTCTTCTTGGCTGATTACTTTTGTTGCACCTTAGGTAGCCATTTTGTGCGCATGCTGTATGTATCCATTTCCTCACTTGTTGAGTGAATGAGGGAAACGAATAAAGTGCTTTATCAAGAGAGTCGTGTCCGTTTCCTCGATGGAGGAAGAGGGTGAGCGGAGGAGCAGAGGGAGGGAGAAAATGAATAATTTATACAGGATTCCTGGAATTGTTTGCCAAGGTGATGATTGCCGACCTGTCTGTAAGCCAAAGCAAACTGAGGACGGGAACTCACACACTCTCTCAAGGGAGCCTGACGAGGTTATTGCAGGCTGTGAGAAATGCTTTATTTTGATAGCCAGACTAGAAGGGCTGGTAAAACATTGTGACACCATTAGAGTGAGATTGTGTACACTCAACCTGTTTCTGTGTGTTAGTGTTGATGTGGTTGAATGTGGAAACAAATAGGTTGTTTGTGTCTGTACACATAAACTGCATAATTCAAAATGAACTCCATCAAAAATATTGTTCACATGATACGAAATCAGACGCAATCTGCTGAAATAAGCTCATTGCCATATGCTCCACTGCAGAAACCGATGTCACTTCAGTTTCGTGTGTATGAGCTCAAAATAGAATGACATGCAAAATATTCTTCATGCATTTGTAATTTGTAATGAACAAGATACCTCTAAGTGCCTCTTTCTTCCTCTACTCTGACTGAGAAGATATTTCCCTAACAGCCCTGCCCTCCACCACCACCACCATCATATGCCACTTGGTTTCTTTGCCAATTGAATCCTCGTCAGAGACTCTGCTCTCCACTTGGGGGCTAATGCCTGCAGCGACAAACAGCCAAATGGCTTTCAATGCACCATTGACAGAGGGAAGCAACGGAGAGATATCCTCTCCAAGCTCTGGTGCTACTAGACAACCCTGAGTACCTGTAATTGTGGAGCTGCAGTGAAAAGCTTCTGCTGGCTCAAAGGCTTCTGTTTTCAGTGGCTTTAAGTGACAATAACTCTTTCCAGTGCCTGTCTCTGCCACTAAAAGCACTGTGGAAAATGGTGCCTCCAGAGTAAAGAGGGAGTCATTTAAGAGGCTGCGTGTCATTGGATGTGATGTGTTATGAGTATTTTCTCTGCCAAATGGCTGTGAAAAGGTTGTGTAAATAAGCCATGTGCCCATTTGCCCTCCCTAACAAGTGTGAACCCCATCTGCTGAGACTCAATTTGAAAAGGAAGGACTAGATGTAGCCGATAAAGGCAGCGCTGCAGGTGGGCGGTTGTGCTTGCCCTCACATTCTCCGTAATTTTAGCTGAGTAAAATGTACGGCAGCAATAATTAGGCCACATAAATAAATGTGGCCTAATTAATTACAAAATATGACTCCAAAGTAATATTTTGACTGCAGTGAATTTGAGAGGAAGCAAAGGGTTTGGGAACATTTAAGCTGGAACACGGTGAACCCAGCTCAGCATGATCTCAGCTCTCAGAGCACCTGTGCCCCGAGTGCACCTGAATACTATGAATGTTGTTGGCTCCCAATGGTGGCTCTGGAGTGCTGATTTGCTCTGAACAAATGGATGCCTTTCTTTGTGAATCGGTTTGCGGTGAGGGTTTGTAATGTCGCTGCTCTAATAGCCGAGTGTATCAGCATACCGCTGTTTCCTACAAGCCCCATGTTGCTCCCCTTGCAGCCATTTCAGAGAAGTGGTGTGATGCTGAAACACTCTAATCCTACTGTGTGTCATTGTATCCAGCCCCCGCTAATGATGATGGTTTATGAGTCTCCACAGAGCTCTCTCCCTCTCTCTCTCTATGTCAGCCCTCTCCCCCAGTGCACCCCCTCTCCCCACCTCCCCACTCCCAGTTATCCCTCATTAATTTCCCGTGCCGATCAGATCGACAGGCCGAAAATTCAATTTAATGACCTGCCTCTTTGCTGCGCCTAATATGATTTTACAGGCTGTTCTGGTCAGGGCCCCAGCCCAATTTACATAACGATCTGCCGTGCCAGATAGCGTTGCCCCAGCAACAGAAGAGGGGGAAGAGGAGAAAGGGGGGAGGGCACAGAGTAGTGGAGATTAACAGGGAGGGGTGTGAAGGAGTGTTTGGAGGGAGGGGGATGCTGGGTGGAGAGAAAGCAGTGCGTCTGAGGTCAGACAGGAGGTTGTGAGATAATTCCTGACAGGCCAGCAAAGGTCTGTCCCCCTCCTCTTCCCCGTCTCCCCTCCTCCCAAATGAAAAGAGCTGTGCAAAAGGCCACCGGCACCTCCTGTCTCCCCTTTCCCACCTTCTCCCCCCTTTTCCACCTTCTCCCCCTTCTCCCCTTCTCCCCCCCTCCCATTCTCCCCCCCTTCCCCCGTGTAGCAGTCAAAGGAGGTTAAGGGAGAAAATGAGTGGAATGCAGCAGCGTATAAAACAGCGGGAAGGACCTCTTCACCCCCACACACCTGCTGGGCCTCCACCCCTAATCTCTCACAATCAATTAGTTCACCTCCCCCGGTTCAGTCAAACTACATTACCTTAGTGTCAAATCAGAGCGTTTCACTTCGCCATTCATCACCCCCTTACACTGCCCACCCCTTACCTTTTGTTTTCCTCTCCTTCCTCCTCCTCATCCTTACTCTGTGAAAAGTACAGCTTTAAAAAAAGGAAATGGGTTTGGGCAAAATGTCTTGGGACCTTCAAGTGCGGCATATCCATTTGTCCAAATGCAGCGCTGTAAAGTGCTCTATGTCTGCCGAGCGCTGCAGTATCATCTTACTCTCCCAGCTAATATTCTGTGGTCGATACCAAAGATGCCTCTGATAGATGGGACCGGAGAGTTAACCTGTCTGCCTCAGCTGGCCCCACCCCCCTCTCTGTGGAGCGTAATTATGAGGTATGGCCCTCGTTACGGCCTCTCCAGCCAGATGCTATTAGCATATTTCAGCCTCCTAATGAAATAAGGCCTGAGTATAATGGAGGCAGGAGAGAGGGCAAAGTACATTTGTTCAAAGGCGGTCCCAATTTAGTTAAGAAATGCAGGCTCTATCCAGATGGACGTTGCAAACATTTGTGTGTGTGTGTGCCCAGATGCACACCCTTTTGTTTTATAGATAGTTGTACAACTTGATTAAAGTGTTGCCTGTTGCATGCGGCATGCTGAAAGACTCTCCTTCTAACATTGTCTCTCTTCTCTCCTGTAGACTGAGATTGCGAAACGTCTCAATGCAATCCTGGCTCAGATCATGCCGTTCTTGTCACAAGAGGTGAGTGTCACTTCAGCTCGCAGCATTTTAAGAATGAGAATCATTTCATCTACAATGCAGGGTAACTGAACAGGAGATTTGGGAGGTTGGCTTTCGTGCAGACGTCTGTCAATGGGATGTATAGGAATGAAGAGGCATCTCATGTATTACAAGACATGCATTCATTGTGTAAACGGAGTACAGGTTGTAAGCAATTGTGTACACCTTGAATAGTAAATTGAATTGATGGTTTTAGCGGCACAACCCTGCTGACTTATGCCATTTCATAATAACTTTCTTAAAATAAAAAATAAGCAAAGTACTTGAATCTCTTTGAAAATATGCAGGAAACTTTAAAACAAGCCTTCAAATATCTTTAGGGAGCTAAACTCAGCTGTCCCATTCTCCTGTCAACAGATTTCAGTTGAACTTGTTTTATTAGTTTCTCACGGTAGGTATGGCACAGTTACTCTAGCTGTCACTCTCATATATTGTTCCAGCTGTTACAAACACTCCAATGAATGGAAAGTGCCTCAGGGATGCAACACTTTTCTGCCAACTTTTGATGGTTGATATATCCTTGATGAAACTCTTGACAGTAGTGGATGGATCATTGGTTTATCATTAACGTCCCTTGTTGTAATGTATCATTTAGTAATTGCTATGCCTTTTTATGCAACTGTTTTGATTTGAATAAGATATAGGATTATTAAGGGCTTTTTTTCACCGTAACAGTTTGTACTCGTGTAGATATACCATCAGTACAGGCCGGGATATGTGCTTTTATAAGTCTTTATCTAATAAATCCTCGTCCTTCAGGATCTAATCTCTGTGTTTGCGTGTCTTGCAGCACCAGCAGCAGGTGGCTCAGGCTGTTGAGCGAGCCAAGCAGGTGACCATGACCGAGCTGAATGCGATCATCGGGGTACGTGGACTTCCCAATCTGCCTCTGACTGTGTGTATATCCCCTTTTCTTACTTCATTTGACCTGAGGCCAGGGGCAAAACTGCACATATAGAGAGGCTCGGACCTCCAGTTCAGACGTATGGACTGTTTGAATGTGCCACTTTATTGCTTACAGGTTTATTTCACATTTATACGCTTCAGTTGAAGCGTTGCATGTCAAGGTTAAACACAGAAAGGGTAATGGATTCAGGAGGAACATAGGGGTGCAAACAGAATAAGTGTAGCCTAGTGTATTAATCTGCAACCCTTTACTTCCTCCAGTGTGGTGCATTTCAATGTTCGGTCTGAATAGAAACTGGCAGTGCTATATACCTCTTCACTTGTGCAGCCTTGCCCCTGTCTTCCGCGGTGTATTATGTTTTGACTTGCAATGCAATGTTTGCTATAGTGCACTATGGTCTTCACTGCTGTAATGCCTCTGATTGTTGGTTAACCATGACCTGTCATGACATGACGCAGGGAGCAGTTTCAGCAGCAGCTGTGCTCTGATTTGCTCAGGCAGAGTCAAAGGACATCTGATACAGAAACACAGACCAGGCTGAGATCAGATCACCAGGTTTCTCAGATTTCACTTTGGCTGCACTTTAATTTTTGATAAAAGGTTTCAGCCAACAGGCTTACCCCTACCTCTGACCCGGCAGCAGGAGGAATTAAAGTGGTCAGAGTGGGATAAGCAATGTGATCGTAACAGAGATTTACAGCAGTGTGGACATAGCAGGTACTGAGCTTTTGTCAGGTCGAGTGGGTGAAAGACTTAGGCTGTTCAAGGAGCGCACACTGCTAACCTTGTATTTACACCATAGAAATAGCCTGAACTAGCTACTTGTGTTGTTGCTAGAGCTGCAGCCAAAGATTATTTTCATTGAATATTCTGCTCATTTGATAAATAAATAAATAATGTAATACTATTAAGACAAAAATGACAAATGCCCATCACTGCTTTTCCCCACCCACAGTCCAATAGCTTATTGTCACATAAGTCACATAAAATAATAATAATAATAACAACACATGGGATTTGTATAGCGCTTTTCCTAATGCTCAAAGACACATATGCTGCACATGCTCTCTTCTACAGAGCTGAAATCTATATTTTGTGTACACATTGTCTGCTCCAGTCTATTTCTCAGTAGGTTTTTAGGATCTTGGAAAACCTTTGGGCTTTTAACTTGTTGTTTTTCCTTGTGATCATATTAAAAGTACATTTTCTTACGTTTGATTTAATTGAGAGCATCTGCAGCGATCTAAACTTTAATAGAGGAAAGGAGTGCACTTTAAAAATCAATAACTGACCTTTTTATTGTAGCCACAACCCTTTACACACAAAATCCAATCTGGCCAAATTTTGTAGTGATCTTGTCTTCCACATGCTTTTATTTGAAAAACGATCAGCCGAGCTGCTTCCTTATAGCCATCTTGGACGCAGATGGATAGCTGACCCTTTTGATTAGCCCTATGTAGTTAGAGGTTAGTCAGCGGTTAGCTGCTCCCACTGGTCGGGGGTCAAGTCTAATGAGAGGCAGATATCGAAATTCGATTAGAGTAAATGAGCCAGGAGCACAACCCCCAGTTTTCAAGGTAATTATTTCCTGTTTCCTTTTCCTTTTTTTTTTTCAACCCGCTTTGTGAATCAACGGGAGTGACCCTGCCTTCATTAAGGGGGGCAGGGCCACACACACTCACACACACAGGAAAACAGACTTTAATTATAGGGGCGCAGACATGGCAGGTGATCAATCTCCATGTCCCCGCAGTGTGAGAGAGGCAGTGCTGCTGTGCTGTTTGTGTCATTAAAGTCTCAGGGATATCCAGAGAGCACCAGACTCAGCAGCTAGAGCAGACATTAGGTCCACACACACACACACACACACACACACACACACACACACACACACACACACACACACACACACACACACACACACACACACACACACACACACACACAGTAAATGTTGGTGATGCAATTCAAACATTATTTTGAAGTCCCCCAAAACACCCATCTATAAAAAAATATTTTAGCTGAAGGTTGAATGAAGTGAGCAATATGAAGACTTGGAGTGTGGGAAACTGAGGGGGCAATTCTTCAGAAATGTTTAGACTTGAAGTGTTGACTGATGAAACAATTATTAAATTATAATTTCTCACAGTCCTATTCCTATTTATGTATTTATGTTTTAAAAAGTTGCATAATTACTTAGTTCACCTGACAATGTGACAGATTGCCAACCTATACAAAACTGTAAAGTCCAAAGTAAAATAGCACTTATATATATATATATATATATGTCTCTCTGAAGGTGTTAAAACATTGTTCCATAATGCTAAACTACAAAAACATTACCTTTCTGTATCGAGCGGGCTAAAGGGAACTGGAAAACTAAGGCAAACATCCAAACTAGTGTCGTCTGTCCTACAATAGGTTTTGCATCAGTTTTGGCCCAGGGCGACACAGCATTAGGTTTGATTTGTCAGAGGGGCTGTCTCAGTTCCAGGTGGTGAGCTGCTTATCACAAACACTTATCCAAATGTTTTGTTACCTGTGGGACACACAATGTGACCTTTTACTCTGCCTGGTGATGTTTCTGCGAACAGTGATCTCCTCTGTGAATAATTAGCATGTTTTATTTGTGTATGTATTTATACTTTGTATCAGAATGTCTTATTTCCATCCGGAGTGTATAGGCCCCACACACACAGCACATGGTTATCTACACATTGTTAATGTCTAAAGTTCTGTCATGTTTAAGGGTGATAGTCATTTGAAATCTTAGGTCACCATTACATTTTGAATAAATGATATTAGCTTTGAAATGTGTTGATTTAAATGAGTTTCCTTACTGTTTAAGTTTATATTTTAAGAATATTTAAAAAGAAATCAGTTTAGTAGTAGTTTTATAGATTTAAAGACATTACTTTGCACTCTGGAAAATTGGGCTGGATCTTTCACATATTATCATTGTCCTTCAGTTTTCTTGCTTGTTGCTTAAATCGTTTCTGGCTGAATCTCTCCTCTTCCTCTCTCCTTTGACTCAACAGCAGCAGCCGCCTCATAGTGTCTACCCAGCATTCATGGTTAGTGTTCAGGTTACCAAACATAGACAAACAATCTGTTATTATTAAGTGTTTTCAATTTCTTGCTGGCGGACTAACATGTGTGTTAGTGAAGGGGTATTTGGTGCTGTATGGGAGACAAAGCATGACTTGGATGTGTTTGGGTATTTTTGGTCTCCTGTCCTTCAGTCTGCCCCCGCTCAGGTGTCATAGATCATAGGACTTTTTAATTCTGATCTCAAAAACGTTTTCCCATTTCTCGAACATTATTCCTACACCAAACTCACTCAGCTCTGTTTTTAGTGTAGAACGAGGGCTAATCTTTGTCGCAACAACTGAAGAAAATATGATGAGCCACAGCCGCGGTTGTAAAGCAGAGAAAAAGGAGGTAATGTGGAGACTTATCAAGCCAGTGTGGCAGCTGGTTTGTGCTGGTGCTGTTGACGCTTGTTCCACCTGACAGTACAGTTCTGCAGAGAGCCAGCTTCGCCTAGTTAACTTTAATTGCCTGTTTCCTGTGGAAGTTGCCTGAGCAGCGGCGGCATTTACACATAATGAAAAAAGATAAGTGTGAAAGGAAGCCAGCTCTTTATCCATGAATATTGAATTGGAAGCAATTTATTTTCGTGAATTTTCTCCCTCTTTCTCTCTCGCACCCCCTCCCTCGCTCCTCTCCTCAGCCATAGCTCGTTAATGAGGCTTCTTGATAATGATCCCTGCACGCTTTTCCTCATTAGGCACACTCAATAGGGACGTCCCTGCCTCAATCCCTCGCTCCCTCTCTCTTTCATTCTCTTGTTATTCTCTGATTCTGCCTCTCCCTCCTGTTTTCTTGTTCTGGCTGCCCCTTTCTCTCTCTTCTACTCGCCTTTCCTTTTGCACAACAAATGGGCTGCTCGGCACACCAGCACAATATCGATTAACAATGCCGCCCCTCAGTTGCTTCTATCCATCGTGCGATTTCAGGTCCAGCTCCACATAATGAGCTGACTGAATAATTGCCAGCTGCTAAATAAACCTTTAAATGTGGTAAGCCACTAGATATACCCTCGTCTAGTTTCTCCCTGTTATGTAATGAATGTATGGATGACGCTATTGAAGTTCTAGCCAGCGAGCAGAATGGCAATCATGTTTTTTTTTTCTTCTTTGGAGAGGCAGTTGATGGATGTGCTAAGTGTTATTTAACCTTGTTTTAAAGCACTTGCTTCCCTCTTGCCTGAGTGGCTATTTAACTCCTGTCTATCTACTCACTGCGCTCTGGCTGCCTCTCTCACACACACATCCCTGGCCTCTTGGGAAGTGTGTGTGTGTGTCTGTGCTTAACAGCGTTTTGTTGGACGAGGGGGCATGCTTGCTTGGTTTTCCAGAGTGTTGAAAGGTTTTGAGGTTTTCAAGTGTAGACCTATTGATTTTTGACCATCCCAACTATGAGTGAAGCACCGTGGTTTGGGAGAGAGCACTAAGAGCTCCGTATCATTTCAGACGACCCGAGGTGACATGTTGTCGAGTCCAACATGGTTGGCATGAAGGTCTCGAACTATAAAAAAGAAAAATCATAACACAACAGTGTAGCAGCGTTGTAATAAATGGAGAGCATGAGGTCTGTAGTGTAAACCAGGAGGCACATCTCACTCGTGTAACAGAGAGGATTCAGACGGAAGAAGAAGCATAAAACAAAATATTTCCTGGTCCCAGCTTTTCAAATGTGGTGATATGCTGCTTTTCTTTGTTTTATGTGATATGCAATGAATGTGTTTGTGTTTTTGACTCTGTGAAACAAAACCAATACTTTTAAGAAACTGTTCACTTTCTGGAGAGTTTAGCTTTTTAATAGATAAACATCAATCGATTAGGATTTATAACGATGAATTATTACATGACTGATGAAAATAACCGTTTATTGCAGGCCTACTCTGCCCTTAGGTCTTAGCACACTCTTGTAAGGAAAAAAACAAATGTTGAAACTTGACATTTATTGCATCATGATGCAAAAGTCTATTTTTGGATAATGCTGCTCTGCCGAACCCAAAGTAATAATTAATGTATTCTGTTTCAGTTATCTAACACTTAGCCAGATGATAAGCGTACTGTACATCCGCAGCTATGAGCAGAGTCAGTTTTCCTCTCAGGAATGAGCTGGATCAGCATGTTGGCAGGCGCTGTCAGTCTGCTATTATGCATAAACGGTTTGGCCTTGAACTAAATGTTGTGAGAGCCAGCTCTGCTGCATGAGTAGAGTGCGCTCATTCATGCATTCTCCTCCCAGCCGACCCACTTGTCCTGTGTTTTGTCTCCCCGGTTTGTTACAGCAGCAGCAGCTCCAGGCTCAGCACCTTTCTCACGCGGCCCACGGCCCCCCGGTCCAGATGCCCCCCCACCCCTCAGGCCTGCAGCCCCCCGGACTCCCCGCTGTGACGGGCGCCGGCTCCGGCCTGCTGGCTCTGGGCGCTCTGGGCAGCCAGGCCCACCTGCCCGTAAAGGATGAGAAGAGCCACCACGACCTGGAGCACAGAGGTGAGGAGCACCCCATGGCTCGCGCGCGCACACACACGCACACACACAGGTCGGAGGTCAAACAGTACGTCTACTTGATGGACTAATAAACACCAGGCAGTTTCCTCATAAAGAACTACTTCATTATTTATTAAGCATTATTATAGTTATTAGTTTCAACTTATATCCCTTTATGAAAAGACCCATAGATGTTAATGAAATTAGGCCATGCACAGCGTCAGACATACATTATCTGTAAGCTCTTTTTTTTATTATAAATAAACTGTTTTCTGGTGACTTCCATACTAATTTGTGTTTTGCTTGTGTCTCTCCTGGCCCCTCATCTTTTCACTCGCCCCTGGCCAATCCTCTGAAAGAGCGCGAGTCGAGTACGGTACGTTGACTCTCGTGTGTGTGTGTGTGTGTGTGTGTGTGTGTGTGTGTGTGTGTGTGTGTGTGTGTGTGTGTGTGTGTGTGTGTGTGTGTGTGTAGTGTAGTAGAGTAGAGTACGTAGTAGTAGTAGTAGTAGTAGTAGTATAGTAGTAGTATAGTAGTAGTAGTTGTGTGTGTGTGTGTGTGTGTGTGTGTGTGTGTGTGTGTGTGTGTGTGTGTGTGTGTGTGTGTGTGTGTGTGTGTGTGTGTGTGTGTGTGTGTGTGTGTGTGTGCGCTCTCTCTCTGTGTTTGGTGATTAGGTGTGCTTTACGCAGACTTAAGCCCACTGTCCAATAGAAATCCGTGCTCCGGTGCAGGGACACACACATTTTTGGACTCAGGGGGGCCGCTGACGGAAATCAAATAATGAAGTCTGGCCAAATAAGCCAGTGCCATCTAATCCAGGTGGAAAATGACTCCAATCACTGGGCGAGGATTAGTAGTCAGCGACCTCCTTTTAATTACAGCACAATTAAATCGACTTCTCCTCTTCTCCCCTCAGCACTTTAGAAGATTCGCTGTTGCACGTTTCCAACACTCGTCTTCTTTTATTCTACCTTTTCTTTGCCGCCCTCTCTTCTTCTTCTTATCTCACCTATTTACTCCGTTCCACTTCTTCTTCTCTGTCTCTCCCCATCTCTCGCCTCCTTCTCATGTTAAAGTCCTTGTTTATTGGACTGGCTTAAAGCTTCAGTTAGCGTAACGCTCTGTTGGATCTGCTCGGCCAGATTGAGTTCCCATTGACTGACCATCCTGAATGAGACCACTCATGTCTGAAGGGAACCCAAACCCCTCTCTGGGCTCTCATGGTGACGAGCGGCTGCCTTACCTGATCCCCTCACCCCCCTTCCTCCTCTTGTTTCTAATTCACACACACACACACACACACACACACACACACACACACACACACACACACACACACACACACACACACACACACACACACACACACACACACACACACACACACACCGTCACAGTCTTCCTGTCCTGTTGTCTCAGGTCATCTGATACCGGAGTTGGAGGCAACTGCAGGGTTATTGAGTCCAAGCTATCCTTTAAAGGTCACAGGCTCAGATACACAGACTGCAGGAGATTTCTGTCTCTCCAGACGGCATCTTCACACCGAGCCAGACTAAAGCTCAGTGTGTGGCTTTCTCTTCCACAGCAGTAGCTGAACACACATCCTTATCCTGACCTGAGAATGAGGGTTGTGCACCTGGCAGAAAGTGTGTGTACGCCATTAACTGCCCAGTCACAGTATGTTTTATTATCACACTCCACTCTCCCCAGCTCCGGAGGTGTTTTTGGTTTAAATGTGGCCTTTCTCTCAAGCTGTTCCCTTCCTCTCTCCTTCTTTCGAAGCCAAAAAGTCAGACCCCTTCCTTCCCTCTTTTCACTACATCCGTCTGTTTGTGATGAAGGCAGGGATTTGTTGAGCCTTCACCCCTTCTCCCTCTCTACCTTCTTGCCTGTCAGCCTGTTTGGCGGTGCCCCCCCACCACACCAGTGCCAGGACTACAGAAAACCTGTTTGCAGCTTCTGAGAAGGTGCCAGCCTGCCCGGGCATCCCCACTACTCAGGAGAACTCATGGCCACACTGCTACGCACTCATTGCTTGCCAAGATCCTTTCCTGTTTTTTCCTCCCTTGTCTTTCTTCTTCCTCTTTTATTCCTTCTACGTATTTTCTCACTCTGGCTCTTTTCTCTGCTGGCAACACCCTCTTTGTGTCTTCACATTGCACTCTTGTCCAGGTTCCCTCAATGGCCTCTTTCTTTCCTTCTTCTTTTGTCATTTGAGTGGATTTTCATGAACTTTGCTGTCATTTTCTGCCGTTTAGTCACTGACCTGCAACACCAGACACACTTACACACACAGAGACTATTCAGCAGACATATGAAGGTATAACAGTTAGATGTTTTAGTCACTTTGCTTGTATTTGCGTGTAGTTGGATGTCTGGAATGCAAGCTGTGCTTGGTTTGAATAGTTAATGTTGCTTCAAGTGTGTTTCTGACTAGGTCGCTGTGAGGGTCTACCAAGGGGGTGTGTGTGTGTGTGTGTGTGTGTGTGTGTGTGTGTGTGTGTGTGTGTGTGTGTGTGTGTGTGTGTGTGTGTGTGTGTGTGTGTGTGTGTGTGTGTGTGTCAAATAGCTCCTGCTGCACACACCTCCTCCCTCACATTCTCCTCTTCCTCTCTCCTCAATCTGTCCTACGCATCACCTTGCTTGCTCCTTCTTGCTTTTGTCTTGTTTTGTCTTTGAGGCGTGTTTGTGGGTTTGCTCAGCTGCCTCGTCTGTTTCTTTCTTGCTTCATTGCCTTGGCGGCAGCAGCAGCAGCAGTCCCAGAATCCTCGTCTGCCCCTTATATCCCAAATCTGTGCAGCTCTGTCCAGTAGCATTGTGTGTTTTAGCTTTACTGTCAATATTGTCGCAGCTCTGACAGGCTCCGGAGCCTTGTCTTGACTTAAACGCACCATTTAGTTGTTTCTGGTTTCACATGCTGCATTTAATCCCAAAATCATCACTTGTCACCAAATGGCATTTAAGAGTCATGCTGTTAGTTACTCCATATCATGTCAAGGTGAAGCAACCGTTCTGCATGATTCCAAATAAAGTAATGTTTATAAGAGGCATATTGACAGTATGTTTAGGATTGTGAGTCATGAGGTGAAGCACACCCAGAGGGTACTGATGTGGCTGCATGTTGTTGTTTTTGTTGGCAGAATAACTCGGTGTCGCCGTCAGACAGCCTGCGGGCAGCAAGCGAGAAGCATCGCGGCTCTTCAGATTACAGCCTGGACTCCAAGAAACGCAAAGTGGACGACAAGGACAGCATGAGCCGATATGTGAGTGTTTAGTGCTTTGAGTGTTTCTGTCTACTTTGTGTTTGTGTTAGCTGAGAGCGGGTCCCTGCGCCTGTGTTTTCATTTGTATCACCTCAGCATTATATAAGGATACTCTCGAAAGATTTTACAGGAGGTAATATAAGCAATCCTAAATATGGCAGCCAGGTACATTAATTTGTATCCAGTTTACCACCTGGTATTTTATAACATAACCACCATTCTTTTGGTTGTATACTTCCAATCAGTTAATTTGTATCAAATGCTCAGCTACTGCATTATTGAGTCTTGTAATCTGTGCCAACAGCTGAATATCTACACTATGTCTTCAGATAAGTTTACTATTCAATAAATGTGAGGAACACAGTGTTATATTATGAATTTGATTGAGTTCAAATGTACCAATGTTCTCTGCATACCAACAACTAACTTGCACAACAGCCTCAGAGCTGTTTCCATTTTTACTACAATTACAGCAAAACATAGTTATTTCCAGGAAATAACAAACGGACCCTTTAAACGGGTTACAGAGTTCATCAATCTGGTGTTTGATGTTGATCTAATACTCTGTACTGTTGATGCTCTGCCAGTAACGTGAAGCCTGTCTCTCTTTGCTTTCAGGACAGTGACGGAGACAAAAGTGACGACTTGGTGGTGGATGTTTCCAACGAGGTGAGACTGCGTTTGAACTGAGCTGCTCCGCCACATTCCTCATTGTGAACGCTGCAAAGAAACCAAACACAGCGCTCTTTTGTCATTCCTCTGTAGAGGCTTCAACACCTTCCAAAGCGTTGCCAAGAAGTCTGTCATAATATTGGTTGTGTGTGAGATGAGTGTGAGCTTAGTTGCTGTATGTCTTTTAACCAGTCATGCAGACCGTAATACAAATAATACAAAGAGAAAAGGGAGTGACAGGTGAATGAAAAGTGTGCGCATCTGAGTCCGTGTGTGTGAGGGAGAGTACGAGCACGCACAAGTATATTTATCTGTGTTTGCACATGAGGCCCCGGTTTGTTTGACCTACATGTACATGCCTTTCCTCCGCTCTGTTTGCTCAGTCTCGTTCTCTGTCTGTCGTTTGACTCCGTAGGACCCGGCCACCCCTCGAGCCAGCCCCGCTCACTCTCCTCCGGAGAACGGCCTGGATAAATCACGCGTCCTGAAGAAGGATGCTGCCCCCAACAGCCCCGCCTCCGTGGCCTCCTCGGGCAGCACGCCGTCTTCCAAAGCTAAGGACCACGCCCACGTGAGTGACACACTGAACGACCGGGGAGGAGATGAAATAAGGCGGTTACAGTGGAGGGTGAAGTGACAGACTAAAGGGCATTTGTCAAGTGAAGTGGGTGTCTGTGAAGGACTAATGCGCAGGAGGCTTAGGGGCTTGAAGAAGGCAGAGATGCACTCTCAGGAAATCAAACCCTGTGGCTCACTCCTCTCAATCTCCTTTATGGCTTACCCAATAAATGGTCTTTTCTTCCCTGGCCCGAGGCTGTAAATAACCCCGCGACAGCAGGGCGGTGAGGGAACGGCTGTCTCCGTCTCATCTTCTCATCCAGCTCTCGCTAACCAGGCTAAAACAATCCTCGTGCATCGGTTTTTAGATAAACCCTTTCACCCAGGATTAGGGCAGATTCATAGTCCACATCACGACCCTCTACCTCCCAGCACACACAGCCTCTCTCAGCCCCTCATTAGTGTGTGTCACCAGGCTAAACCCTGCACTGCTTTTAACTCCGCCTGCAGAGGAAGAGAGAGACAGATTCATTATGAGGGGAGGGTTCAGGCCAGCATCTTGCTTATCGAGCTGCTCTTAACAAGCTTGACTTCTAAGCAAATGTGTATGCCCCCCCCCCTCCCACCATGCACACAAACACTAATACACTAATACAGACGCACACATAGCGGCTGTAATGAAGTGTCAGTGCTAGATTGGATTACCTTGAGCCGTCCACTCATATTGTTGAGTGAGGGTATTTTTGACTCTACAATGTTTCATATCTCTGTGACTGAGAGTGAGAGTACGTGAACTTACACTTTGTGAAAACTGATAAAAACTAAGGTTTCTTTTTTTTTCTTTTAGAATGACAAGTCGTCCACACCGAGCCTGAAGTCCAACACACCCACACCCAGGAACGAGGTGCCAACGCCGGGAACCAGCACCACTCCAGGACTACGGCCCCTAACGATGGGCAAACCCCCCGGCTTGGAGGCACTAGGTATGTGAACACCTGCACTGTCACGCATGTAACTATTCATTCAATGACAAACCATAAGCTTTCTGCTGTTTTTTTAATGAAAAAGGACTTAAATAAAAATTGGGCTTCTCCAAAGATTCACACCATGTGCTTTAATTGTTTTTATGTGATAATAAGCGGATTTGTTTAGTTTTTGAGTGCTAGTAGGACAAAATAAGCATTTGAATTGATTGGTGATTGTCTTGTAACATTTTATGGACCAGACAATGATCAAAAAATAAAAGATAATGTGCAGGTTAACTGCTATTAAAATAAGCTTTAGAATGAAAGTTAATTCAAATACTTGTTTTTTGATGCACTTTTTTTTGGATGGTTTTGATGGAAGTTTTCAATCATATTGCATTCTCTAATGAATCACAGTTGATTTATTATTTCTCCCTTCTGCAGTTTTATAAATCAATTAAAATGCTCTCCTCCCTTCTCTAGCGGCCCCCGCCCTGCGTACCCCTCTCTCCATCGCGGGCTCCTACGCCTCCCCCTTTGCGATGATGGGTCATCACGAGATGAACGGATCCCTGACCAGCCCGGTCTACCCAGGTCTCATCTCTCCGCAGATGAGTGCTGCAGCTGCTGCCGCCTATGGACGCTCACCAATTGTAAGAATATGAAAGCACACAACCCACGGAACAAAGCTCCTTTCTTTACATATATTCATTCATATATTCCATCAGTGTGACACAACACGCCCTCACCAGCGCCCGTATGAATGATCCTCCCCGGCTGTAGGTTGTAGAATCTGTTTGCAAAATGACTTTGAGAAACTTAAGCATTCGTCCCGTATTTCCAGAACTCATTGTGAAGGTTTCTGCTTGGCTGGCTGCGGCTTGTTGTGGCTTGTTGTGTGTATATAATGAGAAAGTACAAAGACAGCCGAGCTCCTTTACTTTGATGTTAGCTAGTTAGCATTCTAAAGGCTTTAAAAAAAGGCTCGCCTTCGAAATGCATCTCCGTGTTTGAAAATCTCCCAGGCTTTCATTAGCAAGGGGGATGTTGTAGCCTAGTGTAAAGCTGCTCTGTATGCAATGAAGCTGAATCTGCGCCTTCTTCAAGGGATTTTAGAAACGATGGAGAGTTCCTCAGGGCGTTGGCACATACAGCTAGGCCTCGTTTTTAATTAGAATATTAGCTTAGTCTAAATGATCTTTGCTGGTTATCAGCTTCTTGTTAACTCTATTCTTCCTCATGCAGGCGGGGTTTGACCCTCATTCTCACTTGAGAGCTCCAGGCCTGCCAGCCAGCCTCACGTCCATCTCCGGAGGAAAACCGTGAGTATTTGCAGTGATGAATTCAACTCTATAACAGACAGCATATTGTTGATAGCTAAACTGACAATCTGTTCCTCCCTCTGTCCCCCGCAGAGCTTATTCTTTTCACGTTAGCGCAGATGGTCAGATGCAGCCTGTGCCCTTCCCTCCAGACGCGCTGATAGGCCCGGGGATCCCTCGCCACGCTCGCCAGATCAATACCCTGAGCCACGGGGAGGTGGTGTGCGCCGTCACCATCAGCAACCCCACCCGCCACGTCTACACCGGCGGCAAGGGCTGCGTCAAGATCTGGGACATCAGCCAACCAGGGAGCAAGAGCCCAGTGTCCCAGCTCGACTGCCTGGTAACTAGTCCTTCTGTAGATGTGTTTGTTCATGAGTTTCAGATGCAAGTTATTACTGCGGGTGATTCATGTTTCATGAGGTCACTGCGATCAGCCTCCTTCATTAAGATTTTCCCGAGCATCAAATGTAGCCTGACTCCACATCCCACCGTAGCTTTCCCTCAGATCCCTACAGACGGGTGTGAATAATTCAGCAAAGTGTCTCGCTGCTTTGCTGAAATAATCTTTTGGTGAGAAAAAAGAGCCTGCTGAGTAATGATGTTCTGATTGGCCGACCCTGTCTGCCATTACCCAGCTCATTACTTCCTCCCAACTGCCTCCCATTTCTCATTTTGATACTGTGGCTTCATGCTGCTCAACTCAAATGGCTTCCAACACCCTTAAGGTGAGTCCAGAGTGCGATTGGTTCTTATAAAGCCATCGGGGTGCTGTTTTTAATTCGACCAAGAGCCTCCACATCTATTGATCGTCTTCTTGCTCCCTTGGAGCCCGGCCAGCAGCTGCAGCCCAGCACCTCTTGTTAAAGCTGACAGCCACATCTTCACTAGAACACAAAAAGAGACAGCCTGAAAACTCCACCTGTCGGAGAACAGCTCCTCTGGGGTTAAGTAGAGCAAGTCTTGATGTATGCTGCTAATCTCTTATTGCTCAGCAGTATTTTAGTAGCACTGATTGTGACCATACTTGTTTCTCTTCCAGAACAGGGACAATTACATCCGCTCCTGCAAGCTGTTGCCTGACGGCCGCACCTTGATAGTGGGGGGGGAGGCCAGCACGCTGACCATCTGGGACCTCGCCTCACCGACGCCCCGCATCAAGGCCGAGCTCACTTCCTCCGCCCCGGCCTGCTACGCTCTGGCCATCAGCCCCGACGCCAAGGTGTGCTTCTCCTGCTGCTCGGATGGAAACATCGCCGTGTGGGACCTCCACAACCAGACCCTCGTCAGGTCGGTGTTTTTATCAATATGCACATCTCCAGGCATGTTTAAATACACATCTCATAGCTTTATAGAATACAATAGTGGCCATGATGGCGAGACTGCTTTACTGTAACAGTTGCTAAGACTTTGTCCTCAATGAACGTGTCTTGTCCTGTGGGGTTCCAGGCAGTTCCAGGGCCACACCGATGGAGCCAGCTGTATCGACATCTCCCACGACGGGACCAAGCTGTGGACCGGAGGGCTCGACAACACCGTGCGCTCCTGGGATCTGAGGGAGGGACGACAGCTCCAGCAGCACGACTTCACCTCACAGGTAGAGAAAACAAGATGAAGAACCGTTGCGGATGAATGCATTGAGTGTGCCTGTTAGGGGGTCCTTGTTGCTGACAGCCTCTGATCCCACCGTGCTGTTGTGTCCTCGTTGCAGATCTTCTCGCTGGGCTACTGTCCCACCGGAGAGTGGCTGGCTGTGGGCATGGAGAGCAGCAACGTGGAGGTGCTACACCACACCAAGCCCGACAAGTACCAGCTGCACCTGCACGAGAGCTGCGTCCTCTCGCTGAAGTTCGCCTACTGTGGTAAGAACCAGGCGCATAACAGCCGATGTAGGCATGTAATAGCAAGGACATGGAGACTTACATTGTTATTGGAATTTTTGTTTAAGCAACTCTCACTCCTGTTAAAGTGGATGTTGATAATCATGCTTGTCAGAGGGTGAATTTGTTTATCATGGCACCATTTGACACTTCGTGACAACGCTCATTTTCAAAATTGTTGCTATATCTGGCATGAGAGAACCACGATCTTCCAAACTAGTTGTGACTGAAGGATAGCATTCCCAGTTCCACCCATGATACACAGTGTGCTGTATGTAGCAATGTTGAAGCACATTTTTGTTATTTCTGGAATAACTACATTAGATTGTGAATGTTAGGGATAAAATCAAAGAGATATAATGAATTGACTTGGCATTGGACAACAGCATTACAAAAGTCTCTGAAACATCACTTTCACAGTTACGTGAATGAGGTGGGTGGCTAGTCAAAGATTTGACTCCAGACTAAAAGTCCTAGCTGCTGCCCGGCTGTTAAATGTGGTGAACGTGGATTTCTCCAGTTCTTCTTCTTCGTCTTGCCAAAACGATGTTGACATGCACTCTGCTAGAAAGCAGCCCCTGAGCCGTGTCTGCATGAGCTGCAGAGGGCTACTGTGGTCTGAGCTGCAGACAACTCCTCTGCATCAACACAAGAGGAAGTGACAGTTTCTGTAGATGTTGAAATGATTAGCACCCAGTGACTGTTACTTAGTCACTGGCAGGGTGTGATTAACATGCTCTTTTGTTTCTGGACAGCTGTGAGTATTAGTTAGAAATCAGATGCACACTTGCTTCCTCTGTACAGGGTACACGCAAATAACAAAGGCTTGTAAATGCATGTAAAATATGCTCATTAAAATGGTCACTGCTTTTCCGTGAGATCATTGTGCCTGCTGGGCAGAGCAGCTGGTGTTCACTTTGAGGCTCAGACAAATGAGGTTTCACTATCGCCTCACTTTTTTTCTCCCCACTGAAATGTCAGTAATCATTCCTCCTCAGCAGACCCCCCACAGCAGCGTCTCGCATCACTGCCCCCGCAGAACTGGTTCATTCAAACACGGCTCCCTGCTTCACAGCTCTCAGTGCCACTAATTAAATCATTACCAACTAGTCAGTGTGGCAATTAATCAGAGACTGATTTTAAATAATTATCAGAGTGGAAAACGATGTGGGCCTTCTTCATCATGGGCATTTTACCATTCTTAATGCAATAGTATTTCCCCAATAAGGTTTTTATGACCATTGATCAGGTTATTACAGAGTGTTAGCTGGAGGTATGTTGTGAATCATCTCTGAAGACGTGTGTTCTGTGTCTGCAGGTAAATGGTTTGTGAGCACGGGGAAGGACAATCTGCTGAATGCATGGAGGACTCCTTATGGTGCCAGCATATTCCAGGTAACCAACATAAACACAATTCAATAAAAAAGGTATAAACATGATCCTAGGTTAAGACACGGACGAGATTTTAGAGAACAGCGTCTGTTCGTTTGAACACAATGGAAGCTCACTAAGATGCTCATGTTGTTGAGAAGATATTTCAGACATGATATATTTTGTGTCAAACTAAAACATGTCATTTTAGAACGAGTATAAGTACTTGTTGGGTCTTCTCAGATCATTAGTCAATTATCTTTTTTTAACAATCCAATCATTTAAATTAATATAAAGCAAAAATAGGAGGTTTCTTGATCCCTTCGGAGCATATTCATAATTATCTTTACTCCTACATTACATTTCAAGCAAGTTACAGTTTGGTCATTACCTACTGGAAGTTTATAATGCTTCAGAAAGATAGAGCTACACACGTCAGCAGGAATCAGCTGCATGTGTTCTGAGACTAGCATCTAACTGGCCAGTGTTCGAGCTTATTCAACAGTAACTACAGAGAATTAGAGAAAGTCACATACCTGTCCACCCTTATTCATTCAGTTTAAATCAAGCATCCTTCATTGAACTAGTGACAGGAAGAAGACTTGTCCTCTCCTAACCTGAGTTCCTTCCCCCCCCCACCCCCCCCCCAGTCGAAGGAGTCGTCCTCTGTCCTGAGCTGCGACATCTCTGCAGACGACAAATACATTGTGACGGGTTCCGGGGACAAGAAAGCCACCGTGTACGAGGTCATCTATTAGAGGAGGGGGCTCCCCTCTGCCTCAGCACTTCTGATCCAACGACTTTAATTCCCCCCCGACCCTCCGTCTGTGGATTACAACGCGCCGGGATCTGGAGGAGATCGGTGGCGTAGTTGACCGAAGAATGTTTTCGCTGGAAAGACTTTATTTTCCCCTTTTTTTTTGGAGGGTTAATTTTTTTGGGGGGGGTTAAATCTTTTTGAGATTTATTTCCTGTTTTACTTTGAGAATATTTGGGTGTATCCCGATGGAGCAGCGCTTCATTTCTGAGAACCTTGTTCCTCAACGTCTTGTGAAAAGTGTACATATCCGATTAAATAAAAGACATTTTATATATATTATAAATATATATATATTTTCATGTCCTGGGTGTACTTGTGATGATTTTTTTTTCCGGCCCACTCTTATGCCGTGATATTTGAGTCGGACAGCAGAAAATAGATTAGAACTTTTTAACAATTTTACTCTTTGATTTTCTTAAAGCACATTCTGCGGGCTGACCTTTTCAGAAATCGAACCGAGGAGCATGACACTTGTATGTCGGACGTTTTGTGGAGATTTATAAATGGCCTTTTGTCACAGTGCTCTTACCGGAAGATGAAAGTGTGGAGAGCCTCGGCTGGTTTGGACCACAGCGGGACGGATTCAGGAGAAGCGATGGATGTAAATGTAATTCATATATATATACATACATATATATATATATATAAAAAGACATTTTTTAAAGTGTACTGCTCTGTCTGTGCTATCTTCTCCCTGTTTGTTTTACGTTGTTAGATTAAGGGAGATAGGGAACGTTTAGTGTTTAGCCTAACCCTTGGACCTCAGTTGGCAGCCGACGCACTGCAGCAGGCGCAAACTGGAAGAAAATGTGCTTTTTGCTAACTTGACGTAACATGGATGTTGAATTGCACCATTGTTTTCATGGCTTACAGACTCAATTCAGACAGTCAAATCTGCGCTTTTGGAATCCTCCTGCCCTCTGTATCTTATCAATAATCCTGGAATATGTCTGGTTTGCGGCGGGACACGTAAGCTCATGAGGACATCGAGAACGGCACTTAAATGTAAACAGAAATGAGAAATCAAATGTCTCCTATGTTAAGACAACAGTGAATAATTCTGGTTTGTACACTGTGCTCCTGATACTGTCGGCATTTCCCACGAGTAAATAAAAAGGGGCGAGAAAGCGAAGGTCCCTCTAAATCACACCAAAGTATGTAGCAAATGCTGTCAGCACTGAAAATAAATGTACAGTTGTTAATAAATCAATAAAACAGTTTTTGTAGAATGGCCCGTTTCATTGTGATTGACCTGATGTGTTTTTCTACAGTACACGTATGAGAATGGCAGTAACTCTATTCAAGCCCAGACATGTTTTTTGTTCAACAAAAAGTTGTTGTATAGCATGTCATAAAAATACATCGAGATATAGTTAGTCATAAACTAAACGGACTCACCGTTGTATGCCTCTGCCTACAAGTCTAATTGCAGTTTACTTTCATTCCCTTCCAAATTGTGATGACTTCATTATTTTGTCCTATTTCTATATCTTGTGAATTTGTCATAAAGGTGTAGGTAGGTGTACTTTGCCCTCTCCATCACCTAATCAGTTCAGCTTTTTGAGAAGGATTAACTCTTTTTAAATCACCACAGTTGTGTTATGGGTATCCTTCCATCAGTGACTTCCCATTTACATGACATCGTTTTATTCAAAATCCACTTTTTCATTGCTTAGTGTCCCTTCTGTGTAAAGAGATTCTGAAAGTGTCTTTTTGTCCTGATCCATTTATCTAAAAACCTGTCTGAAAATGAGCTGATCAGATTTTGGCCACTTTGTGATGTCACAATATTTTTTTGGGGTGCCAATAACCAACCAAAGTCACCCTATGCACGCCTCATGACCTGCATCTCCTCCTACAGCGCCATTGTGTTCTTTTAACCAATCATCTCTCAGAGGGGCGTGGCCAGCAGCAGCAGCTCATTAGCATTTAAAGCTACAGACACGGAATCAGCACTTTTGAAACAGGGATTTATGGGATGCTACAATGCAAGATCTGTTTGGTATTTTGAGCAAACCACTTCAGAGACATGTTTTGTATATATCTGAGACCTATAATATATTGATAAGAATGAGTATAATAGGGGACCTTTAAATAAAACCCAGTCTTAACACCAGTCTGGTACTGCTCTAGATCTGTGAATAGTCTAGTTTAGTGTTCAGACTGTAAAATATGGTGGTTATGAAAAACAAAAACAGGGAACAGCTGCCACCACTGACAGATAAATCAAGTAGTTACTGTGGGGGTAATTATTGGTAAAGAGAACTATTAAATGTCATGTTTGTGACACAGACTTCAAATATAGTTGTCAGCACACACACTGATACGAAACAAGTGATGTATGACACAGAGAGGAGAAATAAAAAGGTGTGAGGGGGACAGAGATGGTTGTTGTGAGTTAATGTCTTTGTTTCCAGACAGGATGGTCTGTGGTTTCAAGAGTAATGGTGGGAGGGATGACTGACACACACACACACACACACACACACACACACACACACACACACACACACACACACACACACACACACACACACACACACACACACACACACACACACACACACACACACACACACACACACACACTTGAATCACAGGACCAGCAGAGACACATTCAGTCACACTCACATTTCACACACCCCCACACACACACCTCAGGGAATGACAAACTACTTTGGGAATTTGTGGCTTTGTGCTGAAATCAGTGATGATTGTGAAACAGGATTTGATGATAACATGGAATGAAACAACGTGGCAATAACGAGCAGCACATTATTATGAAACCGCAGCTCCCGGCTCGTCCTGTCATGCATTTAGTCATGAAAAGGCTTCCATAGAATATCCATGATGTACACTATTAATGTGAGTCTGTTTTACTGACTGCACCCGGAACAGTTGCTGTGTCTTCTCCCTCTTCCTCTCCCACTCTCTCGCCCTCAGGCGCTGACTGCATTCATTTTCTCTCATGTGGGGGTGCTGGCTGTCAGGCTGTGATTTCTCACTGTGTGAAAGAGGAGGGGGTGAGGGAAGCAATATGGGACATGCATTTCCCCTCACAGTTTGGCTGAAGCTCTCTGTACATATGGCTGAGCTAGTCATGCATACATTATGTACCTCTTTGTACACGTCCAGGTGGATCTGTGTATTACATGTGGTCCAGTTTAGGAATTCTAACACCTGAGATTTAAGAGAAGAAACCCAGTGATTTTGGTCAAATCTTGAGAAACATTGAGATGTATAGAAATCCCAGTTGACTTCTTTAAGTTTTAATAAGATCAAGGTAATGCTCAGAGGTTGGTGAAGCACACGAAGATCGATTACTTTAAAACAAAATGAAGGTTGTGAAACCCCTGTGATAGAGGTACTGCATTAAAATGTAAACCTTAGTAAAAGTAAAGAAAGTAATCTCTGTTTTAAATGCATTTTATTTCATTTTGCAGTGGTGGAAGACATATAGAGTACTTTGAGAGTCTTACATTCAAAATGTTTCTTTGATAACAAGCATAAAATATAGCAAAGTAAAAGTACTCTGTTTGCACAATGGCACATTTTAATAGAGTATAAAGTAACTTAGTTAATAATTATAGTTAAATGTTTTCCCTTGAATTGGAGTGGATTAAAAGTAGAAAGTAGCCGAAAATGGAAATACCTAAGTAGATTACACAGGTGAATTGTATTTAAGTACAGTACTTGACTAAAGGTACTTAGTGACTTTCCATAGTGAAATCTTCACATATTTCCAAAAATACAAAAGAAACATTGAAATAAAAATATCTAAATGTGTCTCATTGAGAGCCCTTCTGATATAATAACTGTTGCCATGACGTCAGGATAAAGCTGACTGTGCTGCAGTAAAAGCTTCACTTTGAGAGGCTCAGGCGCTGAAATCGTGAGTAAGGTGGTTTTTGTTCTCTTGACAGCCGAGAGCTTTCGCTGAGAAAAAGAAATGAAGCAGGTTCCCCTCCTCGCTCCACTTTCTCCTTTTACCTGACAGCCTTCTGATGTCATCTCTCTTTCACAGCACAGCCAGACGAAATGGAGGGCAAAATGATGAGCCTTTTCTCACCGAGATGTGTCCATCTTCCACTTCCACCTGCTCCTTTCCTCCATCCAATTTTCAGCAGTTACACCCCTTCACATGTGTGTCTGTGTCCACATCGATAGAGCTGAACCCAGGATCCTGAGGAAACAGGAGGAGTGGATGAAGGGGCAGAATCTTCTTCCTTGTTAAAGAGTACAAAAAAAGGAGATCTTTCTTTCTTTTACTCGCTGGATAAGCAAGTGTATTGGGAGAGCAGTGTGAGATAAAAGGGAGTGTGTGTGTGTGTGTGTGTGTGTGTGTGTGTGTGTGTGTGTGTGTGTGTGTGTGTGTGTGTGTGTGTGTGTGTGCGTGTGTGTGTGTGTGGAGGCAGACAGCGGCGGCGCTTCAACTCTCAGAGGTCATTGTGCTCCTTTGATTCGCTCAGACTGCATCTCTGACCTGTCCTTAAGAGGAGCAGCTTTCATCAGCACACAAGAGCCCACTCAGGACCAGGGCGCAAATGAAAGGAGAGCTGTGTGTGTGTGTGTGTGTGTGTGTGTGTGTGTGTGTGTGTGTGTGTGTGTGTGTGTGTGTGTGTGTGTGTGTGTCTAACTTTTATAGAAATGTAAAATGCAATGGTTTGATTGTTACAAAACAACCTTACCTTTGGTCTTTGAAAACACACAATATATAATCTCTTAATATTTTTCCAGGAGGAACTGGAGGGGGATTTGAAAGGATTCAGGTAATACAAAACAAAACAGTGGAGGAACCCTGACTGCATACTGAATATCAAGTATGTGAGTATTGTATATACACGGGGGGCGGCCAGGATAACAGAGCTCACAGTATTATGTAATCCAATGGATCTGCCATGAATACCATTTCTGTGATTTGTGGTCAAATGTATATAACTATACTGTAGAAACAGGCCTTATATGTATTTAACTGTAAGTCAAAATGTTGTTATAATCAAAGTATTAATCCTGAAAACAGTACATAGTGCTCATTGCAACAGTAGGATTTGATACATAATGTAACTCTACCCTGTACATAAAAAAAATTCCAATCAGCAGGTGGACTGGTGTGGTCAAGTATTTGATCTTAAAGGTTAATACCATTTTCATAAGATCATTATAACATTGCATCATAATAACTCTATGGCATCACCTCTTACAAAAAGAGCTCAGCTAAAGTGCCTGAAAGTGTATTGTTGTGAATTCAGCAGGGATGGATGTTATTTTCCACCATTTACTAACAGTGTAAGACGTGTTAAATGTTGTTATCCAGCATATCATCTGGAAACAGAGAGAAACAACTTGTGAGCAGAGGTAACAAAGCCCATCTAGCTTTGCGATAAACAGATACAAAAAGTTTTAATCAGTCATAGTTACTTTTTTCGGAAATATCCGTTATGTTTTAGGCAACCTGATTGCTGTTGTTCTAATTTGTTCTCCACCGACCCCTGTGAACATATCTGTGTCTTCAGCGGTTTAAACGGTGAGATACATTACATTGGTGAAATGTTTGGAAAGCTTGAACCTTACCTCGAATATCAAGGACAGGAGTTAAAAAGAACAAACAGATATAGAAGATCAATGCCCTCCTCCAGCACCCACTCACATAAAGAGGACTTTGATTCCTTGCCACTGAACATGATGTCGGCAACTTTATTGAAACATCCAGGATCATAAGGAAGATTTAGGAACTATAGAGGCTATCAGGTTCATTTCTGATGAGTTAAAAACCTTATCTGTCAAATGTGAGCTGCAGCTGCCATCTTAAAATAGAGCAATATTTGAGGAATGAGTACACAGATATAGTTAAAATGCATATTGTAAAATAAAGGAAGTGACAGAAAGCTTATCAGGGGCTCACAGACACAACGTACAAACAGGAACATCTCTTGTTCACGTTGTGGACCTTTGAAAAGGGAAACTGTAAAACTCTCCTCACAGCAATCGCTTTAACTGCCAAGGTG